AAGGGCCCGTGTCAAGGGCTTCATAAAATGGATGAAGGTCAGGTGGCCAACCTCAGACTTGCCTGAAGCTTCTCCCTCCCACTCACGTACGTTTCAGGGTCTGTCCCTGATCACGAGAGTGGGTCAGTCATATATTGGTCTAATTCTTTTCCTGTACGAATTCAGGGAAGGAAATAGAAGGCGTGAGGCGTAGGGCCCCCAGACGAAGGCTAATAATTTGGGTGGCGTCACAGTTAGGTGATTGGGTTTTACTGAGAGTTACAAGGTGACAGGGCTAGCTGATTACTTACCATCACGTGCACTTGGCCTAAGGATGGTTTTCTCGCCTGGCTGCTCCACCCTAAGGCATTAGACTGCTGAGTGACCGGGTACTGGGGTTTGCTGGGGTTGGCTCCTGGGAAGTGAAGGTGGATGAGAAACTAGCTGAAAGCCTAATGAATGGATTTCAGGAATTTCCAGGAATACATATTTAATATGCCACTTTTTGTTGGAAAAATGAATAAATATAGCATGTGGGAATGAATGAAGCACTTCGTGAGCGTTTCTCCATTGGCAGAGAGAGGTAGTGTGTGTGTGCTCAGAGCCTTTGGGAAATATGGAAACAAGGAATGCTTTGTAAAGAACTGAGAACACATGGGGATGCTTTCTGTGTATCATGCAAGCCTCTGCATCATCACTCTGAATTCAACACATAGATTGTTTTATTTCCAAGATTTTTTTTTTTTTTTAAACTCAACATAGCCCTTTGACTTGACTTGAGACCTCAATTTCATGGCCAAAGCATACATCCTGGAGGAATAGTTACCTTTTCTTTACTTAAAACAAGGACAACAACAGTACGCTGGCTGAATGTTGCATTTATAAAATGACATTCCCACATCTGCCTTGTGAATTTCTTTCTTCATCAAGTAGTCATGAAGAAGGGGAAGATAAAAACGAAAAGAAATAGGAGGAATTTAAGCAAAGAATAACTTCCTTTTTATTAGGTTTAACTTGAAACCAGGTATCATATTTATATAAATACTGTGGAAAATATTTAACCTATTCACAAAGGTTAAGTAACTAACTGATAAGCTTTGCAGGGAAAGTAGGTTTAAATGCTCCCATTAAACTCAGACCGTGCCAGGCCGTTGATCAAATTTTCACATGCATAACCTTTAGGAAACAGGAAAGAAGTCTGGGGAACAGAAAGACTTTCTGATGAACAAACACAGTTGTTCATTGTAGAAATTGTTGTTACTTTATATATTAGAGGTTGCAAAGGGAGTCAAAAAGTCAAAATAACAGAATTTAGATGAAAGCCTTAAATGATACAGTTTAGTCTTCAGAAAAGGCTAAGATAAATTACTGTAGCTGCTGGCTGGAGGGAATCAAAGGGGCAAGATAGTTTAGCTCGTTCTCTTTCTCTATAAATAGTATGTGAAATGATTAGAGTACAAGGTTGAGAGCTCTGGGGATGCAAACCAAACATCTGGGAGACCAGAAAAAACTGCTTGTAAGAATAAAAATTAGGCGATGATACATTTGTAGGTTTCTTCCTGGACTAGAATGTCATATAACTAATCCTCCAACCAGGACACTTGAGAGTGGAGGTGGACAGCTGTAGTAAATGTCAGGACAGCAGGCGACCCCAGGTCTATCGCGGGGGATCTGGCCCATTTGGTCACCATTTCTTTGAACACAAAGGACTAGATAGGCCATGATCTTTCAGTTTTGTTTCTCTTTGGGGGACTGGGGTTCTTATGAACATTTTTAAGGATCTGCATTATTTCTGCTGTAATGAAGAAAAAAATGCTCATAAAAATCATCAGACAAACTGTGTAACTAAAAAGTGAAAATCTCACACATGTTCGTTCTTTCATCAGGAAGTGGAAGATCACATACGAGTCCATCATCCAGCGACACCCATTATGGCCCTTGGTTATCTACCAATTGAATTTTAATTATTCCTATTATATAATTATTACTTAAAAAATAAGGGGAAGATAAAAACGGAAAAGATAAAAACATATAGTTATATAATCCTACCAACCTGAGCTTGGTCACTCTAATATTGTCAAGTTATTAATATTGTCAATATTGTGAATATCTTTCCATTCAATAAATGTTCTTTCTAGTGACTGCCTAGTTTTCTATTAGTTCAAAAAGTACTGTAATTTATTTAACCAGTCCCCTATTTATGGACATTTGTTTCAATGTAATATAAACAATATTATATTAAATGCTTGGGATATGCATACTTTCAGGAAAATATTTATTTGATTATTTTCTTGGGATTTATTCCTAGAATTGAAATTGCTGGATTCCAACGTATATGTATATATATGTATATATAAATATATGTGCATATATATTTGTTATTTTTCAATTGCCAATAATCAGTTTTCTCATTAAAGATTTTATAAATTTTCTTGTCCATCCACAGGGCATGAGACTTCCTGTTTTATCATATCAGGGCTAATATTAGATAGTAATAATTAAATTTTTTTTTGCCACTCTGAAAGGTACAAAAGAGCATTTGGATTCAATATCCTTCTCTGTGATTGTTAGCAAAGTAAAACATCTTTTTAAATGTTTATTGGACATTAGTACTTTTTTTTTTTTTTAAGATTGTCTTTATTCATTTTAGAGAAAGAGAGAGCAGGTGAGTGGGGTGGGGAGGGGTAGAAGGAGAGGGAGAGAGAGAGAATCACAAGCAGACTCCCCGCTCAGTTTGGAGCCTGACGTGGGGCTCAGTCTCACAGCCCCAAGATCACGACCCTGAGATCATGACTTGAGCTAAAGTCAAAAGTTGGACACTCGACTGATTGAACCACACAGGCACCTCTAAAAAGAAATTAGCATTTCTTGGGGAACCTGGGTGTCTCAATGGTTATGTGTCTGCCTTCGGCTAGGTCATGATCCCAGGGTCCTGGGATTGAGCCCCGCATGGGGCTCCCTGCTCAGCAGGGAGCCCACTTGTCCCTCTCCCTCTGCTCCTCCACTCTGCCCGTGCTCTCTCTCTCTCTCTCACAAATAAATGAATAAAATCTTTAAAAAAGTTAATATTTCTTATGTGAGATGTTTGTACCTGTCCTATAGGAATCTCAGACTTCGACAGATCTCAAAAAGAAAAACGCATATTACAGTCCTCTGAGTCAGCTCTGATTTTATTTATTTATTTATTTATTTTGAGTCAGCTCTTAATCTTCCATTTTGTTGTTAGCATTACTCTCCATTCTGCTGCCAGGATATAGATCTCAGAGATGGCTTTCACTTCTCTCTACTTCTCCAGCCACTCTCAGACTGGGTCATGTTTATTTCATTTTCACCACATTTCTCATATAGGTTCCTCTTTGTCACTTCTTTACCTACTGATCTGGCTTGGAATCTTCTCTTGCTTTATTTTAGAAGGCTCCTAACTAGTAATAAAGTCCCAGAGAAGCTGATGCCTGCTGGAGATAGACCTGAGGCTAGAGTTCAAGTTTCTCAAGTCCTGTAAAAGTCATTACTATTTCCCTTGCTAGACTATTGTTTATCATCTTTGTACCCTGTGACTGACACATAATAGGTACTTGATAAACAAAGGATGAAATTATTTTTCTCATCTCCTGTCTCTCTCCTCTCCCATGAATCTTCAATGCTATTTTTAGAATTAACTATCCAAAACACAAATATGATTGGAACACTCTTCTTTTAAGAATTGTTGCCCATGTCCCACTGACTATAGCAGATCTCTCCATCTCAGTACTGCTGACATTTGGCCCAGATAATTCTTCGATTTGTAGGACTATAGATGTCAGCAGCAGCACCCTGCTTAGGGTAACAACCAAAACATGGCTCCAGACATTGGCAAATATTCCTTGTAGGATGGGGGTGATGGGCAAAATATCACTACTGGTTCAAAAACACTGGCCTGTGGGAAGAAGTCAAAACTTAGCATGTCGTACTTACTCTGCTATCTTTCCAGTTTCATTTTGGCCTCTCCTGAACTTCCTCGAATGTGCCCTCTACCTTAGCACCTGGGTGGCTTTTCATGTGCTGTGCTTTCAACACTTTATTCATAACGAAGGCCAACCACCACATTGAATAGACAAATGCATGTTGCATAGATGTAAGAGAAGCTTGTTTTGGCTCACCTAACAGCATGGTATGGCTGAACATGTCTGTGACCAGTGTTTTGGGAACCTAGACTGGTTGAGGATCTGCCATGTTTGGTATATAGCTTCCAGGGTGGCCCTGGGGGGTCACCTCCATTCTACTTCATGAAGAGAGAAAAGAGCATTGAGGAGCACACCAAGGAGATTTTTTTTTTTAAGATTATTTATTTATTTATTTGACAGACAGAGATCCCAAGTAGGCAGAGAGGCAGGCAGAGAGAGAGAGAAGCAGGCTCCCCGCCGAGCAGAGAGCCCGATGTGGGCCTCGATCGCAGGACCCTGAGATCATGACCTGAGCTGAAGGCAGAGGCTTTAACCCACTGAGCCACTCAGGCACCCCAAGAAGCACACCAAGGAGATTTTTATGGTCAGGACTGAATGATGTATATCCCTTTCACTCTCATTCTATTGGCTGGACCTCAGTCACAAGGCCACACTTGATTGCAAGGGAGGCTGGGAAATGTAGTCTAGCTGTGCGAGTAAGGGAAAAAGCAGATCATCAATATGCATGATTAGCTAGCCCCCCTGGCCACCATCAGCTTATCAGTTCAGCAGATTCTGGTTCTCCTTTAAGGTCTGGCTCAAATGTCACTCCTGGAATTATAAATTCTGATCTCTTCATTATAACCATTTTTATGCCCCTTGTTCATACGATTGTACATTATGATATGATTAGTACGGCATAAAAATAATTTTTAAAATCACTACTATCTATAATAGTTTCCAGTATGTGGTGGGTATATATTTGTTAAAAAAAATGAATGGATGAGATTTGATTATGGGAACGTACCATGGGAATGTCCAAGTATTCACTGAAGTTTGTTCTTGTTCTTTATATTTGCTTTTTGATCTCTGTCCCAGGAATCCGCACCAAAGATGAGACAAGGGCAGTCACAATTTCTTGAGACTTGCAGCATCTTAGGAGACCCAGGTATGGGAAACTTCTCTTTCCTGGAGGCCAAATCTAATTCTGCTTCCAACCTCCCTGAGCCTCCAACAGTCATCCGCCCCCTCCCTGTGCTCTCCACAGATGATTCCCCAACCTATCTGGCCCACTTCCTTTATCCTCCCACCAGAGATCTGCCTTTAAAAAGGGGGTGAGTGTCAATCCTGAGGAATCATTGACTGATTAGTTATATCCGGAAAAAGCTACACTTGTACATTTTCACTGGGAACAGAAGGTGGACTTAAAGGGAGACCTATGCCTATTATGTATAAATTCTAGAGAAGGTTTCTCTCTCTTTTCCTTTCCTTTCTTTTCCTTTCCTCTCCTCTCCTCTCCTCTCCTCTCCTCTCCTCTCCTCTCCCCTCCTCCCTTCCTCCCTTCCTCCCTTCCTCCTTCCTCCTTCCTCCCTCCCTCCCTCCCTCCCTCCCTCTCCCTCTCTCTCTCTTTCTTTCTTTCTTTCTTTCTTTCTTTCTTTCTTTCTTTCTTTCT